CCTCGCCCTCCCACCCCAACGCCGCTCGCCTCCTTCATGGGCGCCAGACCGCTCCGCACGTAGCGCGCGCTGACGTCAGCCTCCCGCGGGCCGCGTCCCCCACCATGCCTCCCCCACCCCCGCGCGCGCCCAGAACGCCGAAACCCCCTGGAACACCGCCAGCCTTCTAAATCCGGGCTGTTGCTGGGGCGCACACGCTCCTCTCATTGGCTGGCTCCGAGGAGCCAATCAGCAGCGCCAGCGCAAGCCTTCCCCCTCCCCCTTCGGCCGCCAGCAAGAAGGGAGCAGGCGTCACGGAAACTTCCCTCCCGAGTAAACAGCCGTCCCTTAACCCGGCCCCCCCCGTCTCGACCCCTCAGCGCAAGGCCCCAAACCTCGGGGCCCGGCTGTGTCCGTCTAGGGGCCGGGACGCCAACAGTCCCCGGCCGTGCCCCTCGCGACCCTTACCTCTCTTCTGAACGACGGCTGTCCGGGCGCCGCGGGCGGCAGCGGGCTAAGGAAAGGGCTGGCTTCCTCAGTTCGGATTGCGGTCGCAGGAGCCGGGGCCCAGGCGGCGGCCTGGTCCGAGACTTGCTGCGCTGCGCTGCGGCCCGTCTCGGGGCTCCGCCTGCCCTCCAGGCTTGGCCGGTGCTGCTGGTACTGGTGGAAGCGGCTGGGAAGCTGCCCCGACGGGCTGGCCCTCACTTTCTTCTTTCGCCGCTTCTTCGGTGCTGCCCGAGGGGTGCCCCCCACCGTGGCGAGGCTGCAGCTGGGCAGAGGTGCCGGGGCGCGAGGCTGAGGGGTCAGACACGGACCGTCTCCCCCTAGGAAGTGAGGGAGGAAAAGGGTAGGGGGCAGCGCCCTGGGGTCCGGGATCCGGGGTAAAGACGGTGGAGCCGTGGTCACCATCGGGAGGGCCCCGAAGTAACCGCGGGCGGAAAAGCCCATAGGCGCAAGGCGGCCGCCCAGAACAAGCGGCTCCCGCTGCGGGACAGAAACGACGGTCATAGCGCTAAGAGGAAAAGTGGCTCAGAGGAGTAGAAGGAGGAAGTGAGGCCAGAAATCACAGGGCAGCGAAGGCGGCGGCTGCTGCTAAGAGAACCCGAGAGAAGCACGGACCATGGCTCGGGCGGTGGCGGCGCAGCAACAAATAGCCTCAGCCTCCGCTTCGAGTGTTGTTATCAGAAGCTCCGCCCTTTGCCCGCCCACCCCCTATGAAGACCCAATCGGAATGCGAAAGGAGATGCCACGCCCCTCTGGCCCCGCCTCCACCGCCCCGGAGAGAGACACACAAACAACTCGCTTGCTGCAGCCCTGCACAAAGAGTGCGCACTGCGCAGGCGCTGCCAACGGGCTCTTTCGGGAAGAGTCGGTCCCGCGAACAATGAAGTTCCGTTTCAGCCCCACCTGCCCTACCTCCCCCACTCTTCTCGTTCCGCACCCCTGCACCTCGCCCTGAAGGCTTCGGTCAGACTGCAGGATCAAGGCTGAATTTGGGAATGGGAGTTGGGGCGGGAGCTAGGGGAAAAGAATCTGGAAGCATCAAAGCCACTGACGACTCTTCGGCCGCTGACCTTGGGGAAGTATTTATTTCAAGCTCAACATAATAACGTTATTATTTTCATTTATGATTTCAAAGTACATTGTAGGGATTTCATTCCTCTCAATCGTAAAGAAAACCAGTACACATTTAAGTTACATTTGATGAAGTGTGACTCACTTTTTTTCATTAACTCGGCTGAGGAACGCCGCTCATTAACTATGGTAATTGGAGTAAGAAGGGAGTGACTTACTGATTGAAATTGGCCTCTTAATTTATGCAGAGTTCTCCATAAATCCGTAATTGGGCATTGGAAATGTTACTGCTTTCGTGCTGTGGGACTTTGGGATCGCGAAACAGTGACTGATACTGAGAAGGAAGCGAAGGAGGAGGCTTGCGTCTCAGAGAAAGTGAAACAGCTTTGCGACATGCAGTGCATTTTGCTAGCTGTGTTGATAGAAATCTCTCATCATCTGCCCGAACTGCGCAAAAGAATTGTGGCTATTTATTAAGCACTTACGTACCGCGAACTGTTCTTTACATAAATTATCTCATTTGAACCTCGAAACAACTCTAAGGAAAAGGTACTATATTTTATCTCCAGTTTACAGGCGAGAACGGGGTTAGGGAGGCAAAAAGAACTTGTCAAACACCATGCAATAAGCTAACGGCAGGATCTGAACTCCAGGTTTGACGAAATACCCAGAGAAATGCATCCCAATAACTTTATGTAAACATTTAATACTACGTTCCATCGTTACTGATTGCTGGACTTCCTCATTTTTGCTGGATTTTACTCACTTCTGTGTTTCCAACACTTAAAACATAGTAAGTGCTCCTGATCGTTGGATGAATGGGAATCATACACTCCAGAGCTGTAAAAGATCTTAGCCTTTCACTTGACGTCAGGTCTTGAAAATTGAAGTTGGGAGCTCAGATCCCTTGAAGAAAATGGTCTGGCAAGAGTGATCCCATGAGGAGAATGGCCTGGCAAGAGTTGATGGAGGAGAGCAGGCAAAGAGTACGGAACCTCTGGAATGAGGTAACTTGTTCTTTTGGTAAAAATTCCTACTTTCAAAGCACTTTTTCATGTGTTATCTCATTTTATTCTTGCTCTGATCCTTTAAAGTAGATAAAGATATGTAAATGGTGTAAATAAAGCCTTTAAGGATAAAGTAACTCACGAGAATTTAGGGACTAAATCACTTTAACTCCTAAAGCCTGACGCTCTGCTCTTTTCACTGCATCCCAGGGCCTAAGATTTGACTTTGTTGGGGGGGGGTTGGTAGGGGGTGCTATCAAACTGTCCTGAAGAATAATTTACCCTTCTGGGGGCTGCTAATTTATAGTCAATTCAGAGGGGCCCTAGATCAAGGACAGCTATTATTGTCTGTGCGTGTGTCTCTTGGGTGAGTGTTGGGGTTATTGTTTTTTTGCATTTGAGACCTGAAGGGTAGGCCTTGTGTTAGACCCTGGATTCTGTAGCCTTGCAGCTGTGGCCACCTGAGTGTTAGGGGCTAAGATGGTGCCCACCACCAAGAGACTGGGAGCTGAAATGGACCATTGGAAGACAGCAGTCCGGGTTTTATAAACCAGATTATTGGATTTCATGTTACCCTTTGTGTATAGCTCCTATAGACCTTAGTCTTCAGTAACTTCTAAATTTAATATTCAAACCTAGTTTCATCTGTGCTATATGATACAAAGAAAAAGGTCAGATGCTCTTGTCTGAGCCCATAGAGCCAATCTTGGAGGTAGCAAGGCATTCCAAGGGTAAAGTAACTCCTGAAAGGACTTTAGGGTTCTGAAAATTTTTGTTCCAGTGCATGTCTTGGTTTTATTTTTGTTAAATCAACAGTTTCTTTAGAGGAGTTTTGCTGTTGTTATTGTTGTTGTTGTTGTTTTTAATAAACAATTAGAAAGTAAACCAGGTATTAAAGAGCAGGGAAAAGAGGTAAAGCCCATTTGTGAAATAACCAGTTTACTTGCGTTAATGCATCAGAGCCCTATGAATTCCTCTGCCTTCTTTTCTGCCCACCTTTGTGTTTCTCACTTTTTACTTCTGTCCTCCTCCTCTCCCTCGCTCTACCTGGAATATCATCTTTCCTCCTGCTCTGAATGTCTTTCTTCCTCACTCACTGTGACTTTATCTCCATTTTCTCTACCTGTTGTTGCTTAGATCTTGAATATCTGATCTCTAAAGGACACTTGTGTGAAGAGAGGAACACTTACTCCAATTTATACTTTGCTTTATTCTCAAATTATTAATCTTTCAAATCTGTGAAATAATATTGTTATAAACATTGAACATAAAAATGAAATCAAAATATTTATACTTTACAAATTATTTTCCCTGACATTTAAGCATTGATTACAAACCTTATTTTATGAAGATATTCTGAAAAGTTCACTTAAAATTTAAGGTTTGTATTTAAAAGCAAACAAAATATGCACAAATTTTCACAGTAGTGACAAAATTTATACTGACACTTGTTGGTAAAGTATTATTACTATAGGTCGAAATTAATGTCTTCATTATCCCTCCGCTTACATCTTTCTGGAGTTGCAGGAATTTTACCACTTGTTTATTTCTTAAACTTTCCTAAGAAGGACAGCAAGCCTTTGCAGGCTGTGCTCTGCACAAGGGTACCTGGCTGAAGGGGCAGGAGGAGCTGAAATACAGCTCTCACTCTGCACTTAAAAGCCATCCTCCCAGAGGCTGGGGCCACCTGGAGAAAGGTACAAAGGTTTCAAAAGAACTAGTGGCAGCCCTGGGGTACAATAATATTATGGATACTTGATTCTGTTTCATCCTAGATAGGAAACCAAAGGGAAAAAGCCTGTTATTTCAACCAGCTGAGGTTTCAACCAATTGAATCTTAGCTGGGTCACAGGCCTGGTTGTGCTTTCCGGCTGGCTCTCCTTTTATATACATTGCTAAAACTTTAAAAATCTTTGCCACTCATAGAATGCAACCTAATGCCTCTCCTGAAATATTTTTTGTTTCACTTGGCCACTTACAGAACCTAGTTTCTTTTTTCTCTTTTTATTTTTAAACAATGTAAACTTCTTTTTTGGCGGGAGTTGGGGGTGGGAGAGGTAATTACATTTGTTTATTTATCTACTGGGAATTGAACCCAGCACCTCGTGCATGCTTTTATGCACTCTACCACTGAGCTATACCCTCCCACCAGAACCTAGTTTCTTATCATTATATATTGACCTAGACAGTTCATTTTTGCAAACTGATTTTTGTCTCATTAATTAATTATAGTAAGTAAGAACACTGAAATATCATCTTTCATGAGACAGTGATGGAGGAGTCCACACAATTAACTGTCTTCTGTCTTCCTCAGTAGGTTTGGCAAATCAGCATCTTGAAACACAGCATTGAATTGTCTATTTGTTGAATCTCCATTCTGCCTGGTTGTTGTGTGTGACAAATGGTGTGAAGCAGTTCTCTCTGTTCTTGATATAGTTAATTTTTTTTTTCCAGGATTGCTTGACTGATTCCCAATTCCTCCATTCATCCTTTTCTACTTTCACAATTAGAGACAAGGCATGTTTGTGCTTTATAAACTAATATATGGTTTAGAGTTTTATAAAACCCCATACATATAATTTTCTGTATTTATTCAAATTTTTAAAAATTAACAGATCTATATTATCACATTCACTGTCTTTTATAGCCAAACTGCCTATGACTAAATTGTAAACTTTTTCCTTTGGGGAATCATTATGGACTTTTATAGATTAACATTTCAGTGATCTATAATCATTTCCCCTTTTTGGTTCAAATCTTTAGACCTTTGCCAGTAAAAGGCCTTTTAAGATGGTCCTCTTGTCTCTTCAGCATTTCTCCCAAACATTTTTGAAAACATTCTTTCTTTGTATGGCAAGATGTTCCAGATTATCTTCTCTCTCTAACTGAAAACATGGAATGAGCTATTTTATAAGGAATCTTATTTCCTTTAAATGAAGAAAACTACTAGTGGCAAAATCTGGAAACCAGATTGTTCTGAATGAGTACAGATTGGGATTAGGATAATATCAATGCTAGACCAATTTTTTTTTCAAAAAGTTGGAAGACATTTCTTTTTAAAGTCATGCACCTATGTTGATTTTTTAAAAATTCTAATTTAAGTCAAATACTATGAAATCATTTAAAACATTTATTCCATTGTAAAAAAAAATGATTTTTCTACCCAACATAATCCTAAATTTTTAACCCCTCACCCAAACTGCAGCTGTGCCCTCATGTATAATCCTTCGGTATCCCATCAGTCATCATTCACTTCATTAACTTTGATGTCTTAGTCTGTTTACTTTGTCTCTCATGTCTTTCTCCCCTTCTCATTTTTTCATGTTTTTCTGTTGTTCTCATCATGATTCTATTTCATTCCCCCTCGCTTAAATACTCAAAGCCTGGAAGTAAAGCATAACCCCTGCTCTGGAGCGTTTTGTAACTGCAGACTCAGTGCTGCCTCATGATTTAAGCTCCCTGTCGAACTGGGGACATCCAGGCCCATCCCTACTTGCAACTATTCTTGATCAAGTCATCAAAAACTTAATGCCATTTGTGTGTGTGGCAATGCACTCTGTAGAATATTGGCACATTTTTATTGACTT